AGCCATGAGGGAGAGTGGCTGTGTCAATGTCCTGGACTTCAAACACCATCTCACCAGTTTCGTGAGGAGGCTTTGCATATGGGCTTGGTTGCTCATGATGCCGTGGTCGTCTTGGACCAAAGGACAGGGTTTCCTGCTTGTCGGGGCACTTGGAGGCTCAGGCTCAATCGAAGGTTCCGGCTGATCGGACATCTCATCCAGGTGTTCAGGAACAGCCGGTAAAAGGTGTTCTGGTATTGCTGGACGTTCTGGAGATTCAGGAGCCGTGGAGGCGACGGGAGCAGCGGCTGGAAAGGATGGATTTCCAGGTGTGTCAACTTCATCAGTAGGTTCCGCTGGCTCTGAGGGAGTGTAATCCTCCAAGGAGTCATCGATTGCTGCATCTAGTCGGCGGCGTTTGTGTTCTGGGCCCTCATGAGGAGACATTTCTTCTTCGTGTTCTTCAACATCTAATAGGTCTTGCTTGTTGGCCCTGTTCAGATCAAGGAATCTGGTCACGCCTCTTGACTTCAATGACTGGAGCGTGGATGCAGCGTCCTTCAAATTCTCGACAGCGGTCTCCTCGATGGCAGTGAAGTCTGGTCGAACGTGATGTGGTGCAGCACGAATGAGTTGGGTTTTGTGGGCCAACCAATAGACATGAGGGCTGCCGTCTTTTTCCTCGACACAGACAACCTTTGCAGGTCCACGCCATCGAATCTTGCACAACTCATGTTGTTGAGCATCTCGCCAGTAGAAGCATCTTTGGCCAGCTAGCAGTCGTTGATTGACGCCAGAGTAGCGTCGAAGGAGAGCTCGCCTCAGCTTTCGATCACTCTCTGCCTGGAGGATTGCAGTCTTGGCCACGTTGCGCTGGTGCAAATGCTTCTCGAAGGTCTCGTGTTCACGCAAGGCGCAAGAACTGGACTGCAGTAGACCAGGTTGAGCAGGTTGGTAGCCGAGGACCCATTGAGTTGGCGAGAATCCAGCAACTGTGGGCTGAGCATTGAGTTGAGGCAGGATGTAGGTCAGGGCCTGACGAATGCCTTCTCTTCCTTCCAACTTCAGGTCGTGCATGCAGACCTACCTCGATGGCCTTTCGCAAGACAGCATGTCGTCGTTCAACTTGACCAAGTCGTTCGTGGGCTTCACCAGGAGCAACTTTGTGGCTGATGCTGTGGCTGTCGGACCATTCCATGAACTCATTGCTAAGCCAGCCGCGACCTTCATCAGTCACCAACTCTTCTGGAACACCGAAATGAGCAATCCAATGTCGCTCAAGGGAGATGATATAGTCCTGGGTCTGCTCAGTCTGGACCTGACATGCTACCTGGTACTTTGTAGCACTGTCCAAGATGGCCATGATCGGCCATTTCTTCTTGTCGGTGCGGATCCAGAAGACATCAGCTTGGATGGACTGATTGAAGCGGTCGGCCTTCTGCACGTTGGCTGGTGCAGGTTGATTTGGTTTCTTGTAGCGCAAGCATGAACTGCAGAGGTAGTTCTCAGCCACGGACAAAACATCAGTCGAAGCGCCTCTGGCTTGGAGGAGGTCGACCAGGGCTTGGAGCTTCTGAACAACTCGTAAAGCATTCTGCTTGCCTTCTGCATGAAGATCAACGATCTTGCCCAGGTATTGCGACTGCTCACGAACCGCGAAGGAGCCTTCCCAGAGTTGAGGCTTCTCGGAACAGGCCAATGAAGTAGCCAGTGTGGATGCAAAGGCGGGCTGGTACTCCTCCATGAACGAGGTTCGATGTGTACCATGTCCCTTCATGTAGCCTTCATGTCTACAATGTTCATGATCACCTGAGCATAGCCGGTTCATCGTCTCTGCAACGGAGCGCTTGGTCGTGAGGATGGTGGTGTCTTTTCTTGCTGGCTTCCACGCTCCATCAACATCCATGCACATGGCGCCATATTGACATTGATGATGTCGTGCTCGATAGCCAGGCAAGGAGTGAAGCGCTGCGGTGTCCCAAGACAATGCTGAGGTTGGCTGCTCAATGTGTCCATGTCGTCCTGAGTTCAGCTGCTTCAGATATACCCGCTTGCAGAACTGGAGGTGGGTCCTGTGGTGCCATTCTCGAAGACCTCGAAGTACTTCTTTTCTCTGCTCGGAGGTGGCAGAGATGTTCTGCATGCGTGACCATGGACCGCAACTGGGAGACAAGTAGATCTCGTCCGGCATTTCTTGGTCTTGTAGTTCCAGGAAGGCGCGCTGGTGCGACTGAAGCGCGAAGTTCCATCCTGTCTCAAAGCCGAACGTTTTGACGGTCATGCCAATTGCTTCAGCCATCTGCGACAGTCGAGCTCTTCCGGTGTAGACTTCCCATAGGACACGAGGAGGAGCTTGATGTTCCTGTTTGATGGCCTGATCAACCAAGGTGTTCATAGACTTCAGCTGAGCTTGGGTGTGCATGACCAAGGTCTTCCAGTGCTTGGTGGTCATGAGAGACGTGTCCTCTGGTGGCATCAGTTCTTCAACTTGGTAGAGGTGCTCTTCCATCAAGAAGTCTTCCAAGGAACCGGGGTCGCCCAGCTTCTCATCAAGCTGAAGGTCAAAGGAAGGTTCCCACGTCAGCTGCTCGGACTCAAACGAGGACGTGAGATCAAGGAGGTATTCCTCGTGGCGACCGAGAACGGCATCTTGCCAGTCAGCATCACCAAACTTGACCTTCTGCTGGGAGAAGTCGATGGTCATGTCCAAGGCACGGATCACGGGTCTTCCAACCAGCATAGGAGTTTCGCCGGACAAGACGAAGCCTTGGATCAGTCCATGTTGTCCATTCAGTTAGACTCGCACTTTGGCTACCCAAGAGCTGACCTTCTGGTGGTCGCCACCGAAATGAAACACTCGATGGCAGCGCTGCAGTTGGAGCTTGTTGGTGTCATAGCCCAATTGCCGGAGGTGGTTGACATAGCGGACCAAGGGACCTGATCCCATCAAGAACGAAGAGGCGCCAGGGTCCAACATAGCGCAGTCCGGGCGTTCATGGCCAAAGGAGTCTTCAAGCATGACCAGGGACGTTTCGTCTTGCATAATGGCCATCCCTTCAACTGCTTGGCGCTTGCCGCTTGTCGTAGTCGCCGGTTTAGGCGTAGAGCTCGTTTGTGTGCATTGAGCTGTCTTGTGTGAGGTTGAGCCACATCGCATACATGCTGGGGCCATTGCTGCACGAGCTCGTCCTTTAGGATCTGCAGGCTTTCCAGGAGGTCAGTCATAGCGATAGGTGCTGCTTGTTCCTTTTCCTTTGCCTTTTCCTTTCTTCCCTTTTCCCATGCCCTTGAAGGGCTTTTGCGAGGAGGTAGAACTCGATGAAAGGCCAGAGTCCTGGAGAGCTACCACTGGAAGGAATCCTCTGCTGAGCTTCAGGTCATTGAAGCGTTTGCGAGCATCAACGTATGAAGCATAAGCTTCATCGTACTCTTCGGTGTCGAACTCATGCTCGTGCTCATCAGGTTCTTCCTGGTAGTAGGCGGCGTCGGCGTCGAAGGACTCCCACCACAGGTCATCATAGTTCTCTTCATCGTCCATGTAGTAGGCATCATCTTCCTCCTCATAGGTCGGGGCATTGTCATCCCATTCGAAGAAAGCTTCGGAGTCATCACCAGCAAAGTAGGAGCGACCTTTGCCGGATCCAGCACGGTTCCAGCGGTCTCTGAGGAGCTGCCCGCCACCCTTGTAGTCCTGGCCGAGGATGGCAAACATCGCTTGCTGGATCTTGGCTCGTTCAAGTGAAGCGGCCTGTGTCATGATCATCTGCTTTATTTTGCTCACGTGTCAGGGCGGCCTTAGCCAGAAGGAACCACCCTTGGATTTGACTGGGTAGTCGAACACCATGCTTCTCGATTTGCTTCAGCCGGTCGTCGTGGTCCGTCACATAGTTCAGCAATGTCTGACCTGGCTTGCGAGCCAAATGCTCAAAGTAGGACGAGAAGTCGGCAGGCATCTCGACATTGGCGTCATACTGGAAAGAGCCGTCCAAGATCTTCAGAATCTCTTGAAGGGCTTCTGGGTCTTCTGCCTTATCCAGGTTGAAGTCTTCGCACAACTTCCATGCAGTACCTGAGAGGCTGCCCAGCAGGTTCAAGATCGCTTCGCCCTGCCGTTTTGACAGGGACATTTTCCTGTAGTAGATCAAAATTCTTTTCCGCCATTCCCGGTATCCCGTAAGGGATCCATCGAAGAGCGGGATGAAACTGTCCCGGGCCGAGTGGTTGTCGAACTCGACCTTCTTTTCAGTGGTCGTGGTAGAAGCCATACTTCAGGTTGAAGGAGGTGTCACCACAAGTGCTGTAGAGCTTGTCAAGGTCAAAGAGCTCGGTTTGCCAGCAAGAGAGGTAGGGCTCTTCAAGGACAAAGAGCTCTGGTGAGAGCAAGTGCGGTAGAGCTCAGCAAGGTCAAAGAGCTCTGGCGTAAGCACTGCTCCTGAGCGTGAAGAAGATGACAAAGTTGTGGGTGCAGTTTCCGTGGAAGGTGAAGTGGGCTTTGGAGGTGGATATGATGTAGTTTTGCGGAGATCGGCAGGGAGCTACCCGGAGCGAGGTAGCTCCGCTACCAATGTCACTCGGACACTGGTTGCGGGGAGCACAGGACCGAGTGGAGCTCGAAACGCACGAAGTTTCCGAACACGAACTGTAGTCGGGCGGCTCTCGAAGTCGCGCCCTTTTCACGGGGCCATTGGCGTCGAGGATCGATCACCCACCGCTAGTGGTGGAAGGGGATATTTGGGCCATGTCGGCCACATCATGAAACATATGAAACACACATACTGACAAGTGGCTTGAAATGCCATCAGCAATTTCACAAATATATATAGATCCTTCTTGATGTTCTTGCCGCTTTGCTGAAGACAAGAGGTCCTCTCACATTCCGCGCCGCTGTGTGCTCAACTGCAATGCGATAGCTCATCACCCAAAGGGGAGACAGGTTGCATTAAGGTTGGAAGAAGACTTCTTGCAGGCGAATTGTCAAGAACTCCAATCAGCAAGTGTCGACACTAAAAGATTGGACTTTGATGGCAGAGCAGCCCAAGTCCGAGAAGGAGCTGCATGGCCCCGTGCGTGTAGCTGCCGCAAGGGGGAAGGGTCAAGGCATTCTCATTCTCATGGATTGGAGGGGTTGGAGGCGGTTGCCCCCTAGATTGAGTGGAGCTTCAAGAGCTTCAAAATCGAACACCTTTTTTGCAGAGCTCACTGGTGCTGTTTGTCTCAATGATTACAGGCCCGCCAACGCTGCCCAACTTATAAAGTTTCGTTCCAGGCCGAGAAGACAACTCCGAAATGCACGCAGGAATTGTAACCGATTGTAACAGTTTCTTTCAATCAACCACAAATGCAACCCAAGCAAGCCCTGGGAACAAGTGGGCATGTGAGGGCAAGGAGTAGAAGAGAGTAATGTTATGGTTGTTTTTGTTCCTCTCGCTCTCTACTAGGGCAACAACATCTATCAACATCTGGACAAACATAGGACAATCCCTTGACAATATGTTGTTTGCCTCTTCTATGCCTCTCCTAGTCCATGTAAATGAAGAAGTTTGCTTTGTATATTATATGTAGCATGTTTTTCTTGGCAGGATTTCCGCTGGTGCTAGGAAGCTTGCTGGATTGAGGGCGTGGGCTTGCTGAAGGTTAGACAAGGGGGTCAATGTTTCACAACGTTCGCTTTCCTGCTGCAGGATGCTGCGAGGAGACGGCAGAAGGTGGTTCGGAGGAGCTAGCCTCCCTTGACATGTTTGCTGTTTTGATTGTGGAGCTGCTGCGAGTCCAAGAGCCGGGTCACAATCACCATAGCAGACTAGCAGAAGCCAAAGAGATCGCTTGCCTCCAGGATTTGCATCTCTTCCTTCTTCAGTGTATCCCGGCTGCAAAATGACAATTCGCACCGTTGTCGTTATGCGCTGACCAACCCCGACTTGTGCTGCTGTCTTTCTACCATCCGTGCTATTAGCTTTGCCGTCGATCTTGGAATCAACCTCACTCTGCGGCATGCATGGAGAAAGCATGTTGATGGCCCAAAGAGAGGCCAACATGCTCAGGTTTGCCAGCACTTTATTTTTGCGCAGTCTGAGCCACGGCTTTTCCTGAGCCTTTGCAATAAGGAGATCCGGACCTCCAAAGAACAACGTTCTGTGACAAGCCAAATCTAGGGGCTAGCATCTAGCATCAAAGACTTGAAGGGGCTTGCTTTAGATTTGGTGTTTTTCAATCATTGTCAATCGTTGTTTGGGCCAAGCACATGTGGCCATTAATTAGACTAACTAGTGTCACATTGGCTGGTTCGTGTGCACACAATGCGTAGACGCTCTTCAGAATTGATGCAGTGCCGCGGCCAGGATGCTGCAATGGCCACCCGAATTCTTGGTAATACATCGGGCATAGCTGGCTTGCTGAGCTTGATCGCCGCTGGGCGGAGAATCATGATGCGACAGAGCTGCTAACAGCTTGAAGTTTCTCACAAGTCCTTGATTTTGGTTTAGAATTTGCTCAGGTCAATCAAGCAGGAGGAAAGCTGTCTGATAGTATAGGCCAGCTATGACTGCAAGCAAGCATTCAAGTAGACTTGCAGTCTTTAGTTTGCTATGTTTGATATTGTTTGATCAATGCTGGTGGCTGCTCACTGTCCACAACACCTGAGTGCGGCTGGCCCCCTGCACGCAGGAAGAAAGCCTGGATTTCTGGTAGGCCCGCTGTGCTTCTTGGATCAAGTCCCAGTTCTATAGTCAACACCGCCCAATCTTGTTTTATGGCCTTATTCCACTTGGTGTTGTGCAAGGCAACATTATTCTTGGCTTTCTCGTTGTTTTGAATCCGCTCAATCGACCTTTGATAGCAGTTTGCCGCGTCCTGCGGTTGAGTCTTGGCTTATTGTTGGCGCAGCCGGCCACGTATTGGTTTCAACAGTTCAATTGCCACTAGCTGTCAAGAAGCCCTTTGAAGTGCTGTACTAGGGCAGCAAAGTGGTCGAAAGTGATCAGATGGAACTCAGGATCTTGACAACATTTTCGAACACTGTAATGTGCACCGCCGCTGTGGCAGATGCGCTTTTGCAGCACAGTCGTTTCTGGAATGCCACATCTTGCACTTGGTCTAAGCCAGACCCCAGGTGTGCTCGAGCAGTGAGCTTGCTCTGGCAATGTCCAGGATGCAGACTGCTGCTGGTCCAGCGCTTACTTGATGATCTTGATGACGTTTGATGCTTTCGTGGGGCTGAATGTCATTGGAAGGCCTTGCTATGTTGCTCACTCCTTTTATTGAGGGAAGGACAGCAGATGCTTGCTTTCAGATTTCAATAGATTCCAGATTCCATGGGGATTCTGATTCTTTAGCAAGCACACCATGCGCAAGCAGGATTTTGCACTGGTCACCTTGGTCACCACATGGCATCAAATATGTTTACGCCGCCACTTTGCTGAATGTACCAGACAAGTACTTGAAGTTGTGCCCCCATAAGCAGTTTAGTAAAAGTTGACGCGGTGAACAAACGCATCAGAAAACGACAAGATGAAAATGGCAAGGCAATAGTGATTGATGGTACTTTATAGAATGGGCTAGCGCCCGGGTGCCGCCGACCCCGACACACTGGAGCAGCGTGGCAAACGTGTTGGTGGATGTCCGGCCCCTTACATGTCAATTGTGATTCTTATTGGCATCGGATAAGAACATGTACCAAGATATACCAAGATAATATATGAAAATCTGTGTAGATGTTCATATACCAAACAACAAAAAACAACCACATCCCGGAAATGTATCATGCCTGGGATCATCCAGAGAGATTCTTCACAGGGTCACCTGAAACGGGTGCAGAGTGCAGACAGGGAGACCCCTTGACAGTATACATTGCGATTACCCGCGTGCGGGACCGGCAAAGTTTGTCTATTTACCGCCCCTTCGACGCGGCGCCTTTCCAAAAAGGAGCGAAGCTGGGGCGAGACCTGCTGCTTCGCTTCTGGAGAGGAGAAACCATGGATTGGGCGGGGTTGCGGGCCAAGTATCGCGAAGAACGGCAGTGTGCCGAATGCAAAGAGCAGAAGCCTGCGGCCGGATACACGCCTGGGCGATGGAAACGCACGGACGCGGCAAAGAGCGTTTGCAACGTCACGGGGTGATGATGCAGCCTTGACAATGCATGGCCTGCTACATGTGGAAGCAATTACCGTGTTTGTCAGACATGCGAAGAGACGAAGGTGTGCGCACAGTGCGGCCATCGCAAAGCGAAGGCCGGGTTTGCGCCGACAGCATGGCTGCGCACGCGCGGAGGATCCCGAGTATGCTTGTCTTGCGCAAGCCAGGCCCATGGAAAAAAGGATTTGGCGCGCCAGAGCCCAGAGCCCACAGTCTAGCAAGTGCGAGGTTTTGGAGCGTCTGAAGCGTCCAGAATCCAGAAGCTGGCTGCTCCAACTGCCAGTATG